TAAAGTAGTAAGGCCAGGAGCTACTAGTAGATACCCCCAAGTACTGAGGGTCTGGAATGGTGGGTACCTAGGTACCGGCAGACCAGAGGTCTAGAATATTCAGAGGTAGCATAGTAGACCCTATTCAGAGTAGTATTGTAGACCTTTTGAAGTATGGCATTAGACATTGTATTACGGATTAACCACCTGCCAGCCACAGCAGCAACATAGACGATAGAGTGGCTCTTTGTATTTGTTTGTTTGATAGGCAAGAAGAAGAAAGAGGTGGATGGGATGGCCTTGACCTTCTCATTGGAGACAGCCCTAACAGTAAAGTTTCTAGAAAATAAACAAATGGCCCAGACTAATGGGGCCACGAGTGAGGGTCTAAAATGATCTGCCCACACAAAAAACATCTCAAAGAGTTTTGAAGCACCAAGGAAAATGTTTCAGACCTGCGCCCTCAAACATTCTCATTCAAGAGAGCCCTAACAGTGAAGCGTGAAAGCCAGAGACAAACAGAATATGATAGCACAGACCAATGGAACCAGGAGAATGTGACCAGGAGTGGGGGTCTAAAGTGAAATGCCCACAAACAAAACATTTCAAAGAGTTTCGAAGCACCAAGGAAATTGTTTCAGACCACCACTTTTGGAGAGAACCCCACGTGTGGGAAAAGGCTAATAGAAAACTGTCTGAGCTCATCAAAGGAACCATAGGGCCAAATCTGCTGAGCTTGAGACAAAGAAACCTGGACCGCTGAAACACCGAGCAACAAAGACGCCAGTTTTCCTGTGCGATTTTGGCCATCAACTTTGTGTGTCTTTTATAGCGACTTCATGTTATAAAAACATGTTGCTAGGAACTCTATCCTAGACCCATGCTCCCGGGTACCTAGGGTAGGGTCTAGGACCTAAGCTTCGTCGAACGCAGCGTGCTCTGGGGATACCGCCCTAGACCCCAGATTTGGGGGTCTAAACTGTGGCCCTGCAGGCCCTGCTACAGTAGTTGCGGGTATACTAGTAGCGTATAGTAGCGTCCTTGCTCCTGGTAGCGATGCTGTTTGTTACTAGTAGGTTTCTTGTTTTTGGGAAAAACGTTATGTTGAGATATGTTGAGAGAGGAACCTTTCGACTTGATCGGACTTGATGTGGAACAAGCAATCGTTGTTGAGGTCGTGTTGAGACTGTGACCTCGCAAGAAAGCCCGAGACCAAAGATACCTGAAGTGCCTTTCAAATCAGAACTCTGCTCATGGTGATATGGGCCTAGCAAGATTCTGACTGGAGGCGGTGTGCAGACCAAGACACCGGAACGACTAGTGGCCGAGATTTGCGAGGCAGGAAAGATGGGAAGATGGAATGTGCTCCTTCTTCCTGCCAAAGCTGTTTGGGTGTCGAGGTGTGCAGAGTGGAAGTACGCTGCTGAGCTGCCACAAGCAGCTGTGATGGGATTGAATGAATCCTTTGCTGAATACGTGGTGAGGGTAGGACGGTAGGAGGATCAGAGTGGTTTAAGAAGCAGTTTGTTCGGGGTAGTGTCACAGACCACGCCAATGTCATACGTACTGTATCTCTACAGCTTGGGCGCCAGAGGATGGATTATTGTAACTGTAACATTCCTGTCAATGACCGTTCTTTGGTGGGCAGGCGACTGTGGCCCCTGTGACGTTGGCTGATCTGGAGGCACCGGCTTCTGCATTTCTATAGTGCGTGCCCGACACAAAATCAACGCATGGAGTTGCAGAACCGCCAAGCACCGCACCACTCTTGCCTCCCTAATGTTGCGTGCTTCTCGTGTGTAACTCTTGTTGCGATTGCCTGACGACGATGGCCGTGGGCCTTGCATGCTAGAGAATGGAAATGATCGATAAGAACACGATGCTGAACATGTGAAACGGATTGTGCCAGGCAGTACCCTGTGCCGTAGAGACCTTGAAGGCAGAGTTGTCCTTCGCATAGCTGGATGTCGTAGTCAAGTGCCCCGTGACAAAGTCCATTTTTCTGAGTTGGCAGAAGTGTGGGAAAATGACATGATGACGATGGTTTGCAAGCGTACGATTTCAACATGCCACAAGATGTATGCTTTTCATTTTCCCACTGAATGTCATGCCGCTGATAGTCTTCATCTCGTCAAGAGGGGTCGATGACAGAGCAGCCAGGCCATCCCAGCGCCGCAGGAGGCATGGAATGCAGAAGTGTTTCCTTTTTCGAGCGATCAACTTCAGTCTTATTGAAGGATGGATGCAGTGCTACCCCTCGTAATTATGCTTGTTTTCGCACACAATCCCACAGAATTAAGTACTTGAGTGCTTCTTCAACCAAGTTTTGCAATGTGCCGTAGGTGGATGTGACAACCTTGCCAACAACGCTGGTACTATCGCGCGAGGCAAGATAATTTCTTTGGACGACCGACAATATTTGCAAAACACGTGTCCTTTATTGTTTTCGCTCATCCCTGTTTGCCCTTCTACAAGCGCAGAACATCATATTTCTAAACGGCAGACCCCGACAGTCAAGAAAGCACAGCCCGTGGAAAGCTGGAAACGAACTGCAGGAAAGGAGCAGCCTCGTCAACAAAACTCGAGGGTAAACTGAAGTTCTTGTCAACCTTTGAAAGGCCAGGGTCAGACTTGGTTCCTGACCTTGAGCCTGGGGCAGACCACAATATGACTCAACTATCCTACCTTTGGAAATAGAGACGCCGGCAAGATGGAACAAAAAGAATGGACAGGCTGATTTGCAGCAGACTTTAGCCAGCAAGGTCTCGTACCAGAAGGGGCAATGAGGAATGGGTCACTATATAAAATGTACGTAGGGTCATGTAGAGCTTACTCCAATGTAAGACGAACATATGCATACATGCGTGCAGAACATAATCTTAAAAACAACATTGCATGTCATAAGATACATTACATTAACACATACATGCACACAGACACACACACACAAACACGCACAGAGACGGACAGACAGACAGAGACAGAGACAGAGACAGAGACAGAGACAGACAGACAGACATTCTACATACATTCTTTAAGTCTTGCAGGCGTTTCTTCCAACATCCCCACGCTGTCAGGCATTGCCTGACGCCTTGCCCGAGGCTTTTCCGGAAGTTCTGGTGCCATGGTGTGGGTATTTCAGGTCCTAATATTTGCATGTGCTTGATCAAGTTACAGTTAACTGATGCCAGCACTACTTCATTCGACAAGTCCACTTCAGGTTGACCAATTCCTGCGTAAAGATTGCCCTTATCAATCATTACACACCTTAACAACAGACAACAGGGACCTCATGGGATCTAGCTTGCTCATGAACAGTTTTCATCGAAACATATCACATCATAATATCACTATTGTGGACACAGGCGGGCACCTTTCTTGTAGTAGTAGGGCTAAAATTGAGTAGTGAGCGTCCGTGCTACACAGGTTCCTTTTGCTAAAGGTGATGTGCATTGCACAGTTTTGCCCTCGATAACGCTCCGCCAATGTCGCAATTGGCCGTGGCCTGCGTGTGCTTTGGGCTAGGTTTTACCACCCATGCTTTTCCACCGGTAGCACTGAGACGTGTCTCAATGTTCCGCCACTCTCCAACGAGCAGACCAGAAAGTCTTGATAGCGAAATGCGCGGAGATTTGGAGAATCATTTGCATGTGAGTCAGAACAGTCAGAAGCCTGCAAAAGCGATCCGTCCATGGCGTTTTCGCCTTCACCCATCTGCAGCATCAATAAAAGCACATGTCCTGTTGCATTATATATGGTTATCGTAATTACTGCGACCGGTCTCCAGAAAGTGGTATATATCATGTTTAGACCAGTCAAGAGCGACGTGCAGATTCGAACTACAGCAATTTTGCCTAGCTTGGCCGTGCATCCTATATCAATAAGCTTTGGTGAGCTCTTAAATCAAAGATACGCTCACACATGCTGAGACAATCATGCTCACGCGCACACATGCATCAAGTATTTGAGGGCACCAGTGCTTGAACACCTCCAGGCTTTGTCCACACCAGTGTTCAACGCTGTGCCGCTGAGCCTGAACTTCGAGGCGGGGAAAGGCATTGCAAACCTCGAAAAACAGAACAGATCACATTTTTAAAGATCTTATTGAGAAACTGTTTAAAGACCATCAAGTTGTTTGATTCTGCTTCCTTCCGTTTTGTCCGCACACGGGTGTTGTGGTGGGGATGCGAGCTATTGCAAGCGATGTGCTCAGCGAGAACTTCGACATCCTGCACTTGGGAGCAGGAAGGCGGTATGGCATAGGTCTTTGGAAGATAGTGGAAGAACCCATGAAGACGTCACACGCTGTTGCTCAACCTGCGCCAGCACTCCTGTTGACACCACCTAAATTAGATTAAATTGGTTGGAAAGACCCACCACATCCCACCACTATGAAAACCAACCTGCTGACTTAGAGCAAAGTGACGTAGGCATTGCTACAAACCCGCGGCAGGGCGAAGAAGTTGTGAAAGAGGAGGAGGCAGAGGTGCTGTCAGTTGGGTATGACGCGCAGGTTCTTTCAGAGGGCAACAGTGCTGCGACAGGTTGCTCCATCCGATGCTGCGGCTGCGGCGTCAGAGGCAGAATGAGGGCGATGGTGGTGTCTGCAAAGCATCAGACTTCAAGACGCAGGGTATGATACAAGTCTGGTGTACGAATCCAACAACTCCTTCAAAGAAGTCAGCTACGCCCATCGTCCTCATCCGGGCAAGAGAGCAGAGAAGAGAAATGTACCACGATAGACTTCTTGACATTGGCGCAAAGCTTCCGGACCGATAACAGCCCCTCGGTGCAGCATAATATAGATATGACCAAAGCCAACGGTAGACGGAAGCATACCAACATATTTATTCAGTGGACTGTAGAGTGAAGAGCAAAGATAGTGCCGATGGTGCCCAGTGCCGCCTGTAAAACTAAATGCAGGCCACCAACTCTCACTGACTGTCACGGCTGCATTTACTGCAACAACTCATCTATTAGAAGGCTTCACCAGAACCATCACGAGCTGCAGAGCATTTTAGATGTCTGCCAATGGCGACGCCAAGCGACGCAGAACTCTGGAGAAGACCCACTTGCAGCTCCGTGCTTGGATGGCAAAGAGACATGGGACCGGGACAGAAACGTCTTGTGTTGTGAACGTTGAAGTGTCAAACTACGCCGCACCGCGCCGCAACGCGCCTCGTCTCAGGTACTGCGGTGACGTCTGAGCAAGGCAAACGACCTGCACAAGAAGATCGGTTTCCTGGACTTGGTGTTGGGGAATTTGAGATTTTGAACATGATTTCAGTGTTGCCCTGAGAGAGCATGAGGAAATGTGAGGAAATCTGAGGTATGTGTTGATTCCAGACCTGGCTGCACTTGCTGGCGGATGGTCGCACTTGCCCGAGCCCTGCAGTTTGTTTGGAGTCTTTGATGGGCAGCTTGGACGAAAGAAGGACACAAAAGCTTGGAACTGAAATGGGGTTTTCTTTTGCGAAACTGTTGGGTTGAACCTTGAGTTGAGTACGGCAGGCAACTTTACTCTACTCAAATATACGTGAGTGTATATATACATAAAACATCATAAAACATGTTCTTTTAAACGAACATTATACTCAAACTTGCAGCACACATATCATGAAATCCATACGGGCCCGTTTGGCAGGCACATGGGGGCCACATGCTCTGAGTTTATGGCTAGACGTTTGCCAGAGAAGCTCTTGGAACAGCTCAGTAATTCACAGCAGCTGGTGTCTCTGCAGCATTGGAAGAAGGTTGAGCAGGAACCCCTGTTGGAAAATAGTCCATGTTGAACAGGGCCAGCAGGAGTCTGTGCTGTTAGGAGCATCTCTAGTAAAGGCTGGCCCAAATACATTTTCTTGGACTGAATTGAGAGTGCATGGGCACATCTCTTCCGGACTGCAGGAAAAGATCACTACCCTGATGGAGGAACTCTTCAAGGAGTTGGACGATGACTTCCTTACCGAGCATGACTGCCCTGATGGCTCCACTGCTATCATCGCCCTAGTTTTGGGGACGGACCTCTTTATCGCAAACCTAGGCAGGGATGAGTGGCTCACAGCCACTAGAACGACGAGTGCTTGAATTCTTATTCACGCTCAGTAATTTGTCTCAACATCTTGATTCAATTCTAATTATTAGCAAACATTGCTACTAGTAGTAAGGCCAGGAGCTCCTAGTAGCTTCCTTGCTCCTAGTAGTAAGGCCAGGAGCCCTAGTCAACATCTTGAGTTCTCAACAACATTCCCCGGCTTTGTTGCTCAGAGACTCCTTGAGGTGATAGCAGCGGCGTGCTGTGCGGCGAAAAGGCCACGACGCCTTTCATTTTTCCCCATAAGCCTGGGGCTGCCATGGAAAAGAAGCGGATCAGCGAAGCAGGCCAGTTCCATAGCACGTTAGCCTTTGTACGGAGGGTTTGAATAAAGAGTTGGAACTGCTTCAAGGAGAGGCACTGGGTGTGGCTGTATAGAGTCAGGGCTTCAGCAGAGGTGGCCACGTGCTCGACTTGGGTGGCACTTTGCGCGTTGTGCATCCTGACTTCCAAGAACGCATTGCGGAGCTTCGTGCTCAAAGCTTCTTGCCATTCTGTGCACGTCACATTCATTCGCATTCACTAAACTCAGTTTCTCAATGTGTCTCGATTTGGTTTGGGAAAAGCTTCAATGATGAAGCATGGCCTCGCGCGAAACAATATCAACGGAAAGCAATTTGCGTGATACCTTGCATATGCTTTGCACGTTCGGCCTGAAACTGAAGTACGATATACTGCAATCAAGGTGCTGCTGGAATTGCCGGAGACTGGCCACAAGCACTGTCTCTCAGTCGGGCTTTTGGGGACCGAGACTTCAAGAACCTGCTGCTTGGTGCTCCACAAGTCACCTCAGCACCACATTGAATTCACATGAATCAGAGCACCCTGATGCACATATATATAATTACATGTGTGCTTTGAATATGATACAAATATGAATATGTATAAAGCCACTGAACTCACAAGTCACTTAATCTTTATTTTTCAAGGTTGGTTTTCTGGAGCTGCCACTCCTCGCCTCAGAACATTTCAAAACTGTAGATAGAATGGGAACAGGATGCTGAAAAGAGCTTCCGCCTGGGTTCTCAACAAAATCACTTGCTTCGCTGAAACTTGTAGACCCTGTTAAAGCACCATACAGGCTGCGGGATTTCTCCAGGATGATGTTGTATGGCCGACCTTGACGTGTCTCATTTCTTGCTACCTTGACATGCTTTGCCGAGTTACGATGGGTTTCAACGTGTTGATTTGGTCAGCTGCTGTGCCGACGTCGTGCACGTGCAGCTGGAGACACAGCACAAAGCCTTGGCCTTTTGGACCTACAAGCTATGCTGCCAATATGTTCACAGAAGTAATGATGTGTTACTCTGGGAGATGATGCAAGTCGTCATGCATCATCATGGGTCAATATGGGTATCATGTAATGGCCTCCCTCAGCAAGTTGATTTTGCCACTACGTTGTCTTCAATGAGGTCTTGGTTTCAGATGGTGTTACGGACGTGCTCTCGCTCGAGGAGGTGTCACGGCAAGTGATGCGTCTCAGTGACCCAGCTGCTGCCAGCAAGGCGATCCGAGGATCTTCTGCCAGTGACGTACTGCTTTCTCTGCTGTAAAATAGACGTGATGCCAAACACCCACAAAGGACGATGAGTGAGACCTTCATAATCTTCACATTATAGAATTCCATACAATTCCTATCTACGTAGCACTAGGCAGACCACCAAGCTTTGACCCACAGCAATGTATGCCGTATACGAGTGCATCTCCACCACGGGATTGAGCCCTTGCCATGTATTGCATATATATATATATTTGCATGTTACCTCTGATTTTGGGCATTGACTCGGCACAGAACGACCCTGGATTTCTGCAAGATCTCCACCATTCTTTTTGTTTCCCCTGAGGGATGTTGATGGATAGTGATTTGTAGGTAAGCATTGCTCATTTGCCTTTTCACACCTGCGCAGGCTGTTTGCAATGAAAGCTTCCGTCGGTGCACCACAGACAATGTGACTGCCGTGGCCGTCCTGTTGGACTGGGCGTGTCCCAATTTCGAGAAGGGTAGCTGATTCGTTCGCTCTGCAGTGCAAAGATCACCGGCCAGAGAACCGAGACAGACAAAATACTTTGGATGTGGCAAGCTTTGAGTTCAGAAAGTATAGACAGCCACCTGTGTTTTGGACGGGAGTTGGATGGACATCAAACGCGTTGAAACTGGGCAATCATAGCGGCAGCTGAATGCTGAAGGTTCTTTCAGAAGACCTTGACAGATCATGGCTTGGAATGACATTGCATTGCAGGCACTTCGTCATGCAGTCGAGCAGCAACAACCTAGTGGTTTGCGGGAAGCGCTGGCCGAGGTCATGCGCATACAATACAAAGAATTGGAACATCCATGACGCAATGTTAGTTGACCGTGGTGATGTTTTAACCATGCTGACGGCGCCACACACATGAAGAGATCGGTCGAAGTTTGTTCGCTGAATCACTCAGATCTTGAGAGTGTGTGATGATTGGAGAATGGTGTGATGGTGGCCTCAGGTGTTTTTTTGGGAGATCAAATATCCACTGTACCATGCTTCCAGGCTGTTGCTGCTGGCAGTGGTTGGGAATTGATTGAGTGGAAGCCTGAGCGACGAGGAGGTTCCCGAAGGTTCGAGACAGGGTCCTACTTGGTAGCCGCGTAGCCCTCAATGATTTGTGCATGTGCATGCATGTGCCATAGATGCAATGCACTATAGTGCACTGGAGAGTTTCGAAGTTACATGGAGACTTGGCGATGTTCTCAGATTGTTTGGCGATGTCAAGCCGCGTCAAACTGCGATTCCTTTAGCCGGATGACACACGTGTTGGCGCTGAAGCAACGAACAAGGTGGGCTCACGACAAGTGCCGCGAGTTGGAGCATGAAGTGCCACCTCAGCATTCATCCATGAATCCATAAGCATTGCATGGATCAATATCAATGTAAATTTTCCCATACAGTTATCGGACAGACGGTCAGCAGTTTTCAGAATTTTGAGGTGCATTCAGACATGTGCATTCTTTGAATTGAGACTGGTTTAGCTCCTAGACTAGACCTGGGCCAGGGAGCAGCATAGCAGGTGTTTTTTGCTTTTTTCAGGCTTGGAAGGAAAAGATGCAACAAGCAGCCATGGCTGCTTTGCACAAGGTGCAGGAGCAACCTCGGGTGCGGAAGCCGAGCGCTCCGATGGTTGACCATTTTCCTTCCCTGCGAGATGGGCCATGCTTCTAAGTTGTCAAAAGAAGCGATTTCAGCTAAACTGGGCCACAGCTAAACTGGTTTGCTTGTTTTTTGAGCATTGCAGCATTTATATAACAGTCATTTATATACTTACTTTGTTTCCTAAGATCGTTTGTTCTGAGTTGAGCAATTCCACTGAATTCAAGGAAAGATGCCGCGCGTCAGGTTGGTGACCGTTTGGGTCTATTTATGAATTTCTGGAAGTCTGAGGCCTCTGCTGAGGCCCTGTCAGACGCATGTGAGCAAGCTTGGCAGGTGCGGGGAATAACATGATCAGATTTCAACCTCACATCGATGAGAGATGTTTAGAACCTCGCAGTGTGTGCGGCCAACAAGGTCATCCCTGACCTGATGTTGTACCGGACGTCAGATGTTGTACTGAGCAGCGTCCCTCCCTGACCCGATTTGACACTGCCGTATTGACCGAGTCATCGAGGGTGAACTCGAGAGATGCCGATGTGTCAAGCCGTCGGTAGCCCACGAGTTGGTCAGGCCGGTGTGCCAGAAAAGGCATTGGAATTGGCGCGTGAGGAGGGGCAATGCTGACGTTCAATGGAAAGGAGACAGGCACCCTTCAATTAATTGCAACGGGCCCTGTGAAGGTAAAATAAGTGAGATTGTGACGGGGTGGCTGCGATCACTAAGTCATGAAAGTTGTGCAACCGACCAGCTGCAGCTGTAGGAATGCAGAGACCGGCGCTTGCGCCAAGTGGCTGAAGAGGCTGACAAAGTCGACAACAAGGGACTTCTAGGCCACCAAGGTGTTCCCATATTTTCGCTGCAATTAGATGCAACTAGAATATATTCGATGCAACTACCACATACCAGCCGCCCAAGACTATCCCCGTTGTACATGCTGTTGAGATGGCAATGACCGACGCGCGCTCACGTAGAGATGAGTAGGAGCATGTGAGACAGCTAGGAAAAGCTCTTCTAGCGGTGAGTGTGTATGGCTTTAGCACAGCAGGCCTTGCTCTCAGTGCTTCATGAGCGAAACTTCTCGACAGAGTTGATGGAGCAATTGGAGTTTGGTCCCGAGAGAGAGGGAGAGATCATGAGAGATCTGCATTTCTGCATTGTGTTGCGCTAGACATGGCGACAATGTATCCTTTCGGTACTGTATCTCTTGGCAATGCCGTAGTGGGGTCATGCAGCTGATTTAAGTACTCTTTTGCTCATGGGTTGGCATGGATCATTTAAATTTGCAAGTGAAACAATGCGGAAGCACACGCTCCAGTCACGTCAACTTTGAGGTCAATCAGACTTTGCAGTTGGTTGTGAAAGCCACCACTATGGGTATGTTCGCATTTCATTGGCAGTCACTGCAAGGAAAGTGATTCAGCAAGCTGAGAAGGCACAAGCGAGTCTGCGGAGATTTTGCTGCCAGTGGGCATCCCCTCTGGCAGCACTTTGCGACTCAGCCCTTGCTGGGTTTGTGTGTGCAGAATGCGACTCATTTTGGTCCAAACGTTTTCAGGTTGCTGGATTTCAGTGCAGCGACGTAGAGGTGTACCAAGCTTTGCACCCAGGGACACATCCACAAATACGCCAGGCTGCCGTCTCAAGCGATTTGGTGAACTATGCGTTCAGTCGGCTGGAGGTCATCAGGGCATTTTTGTCAGCTGAGTTTAGCAAAGCTAGATGACTATCCCACAAAGCTGTCTGAGTCATGGAGGTCTAACTGCGAATTAGAAGATCTGACATAAGCCGTCAGCAGAGCAAAGGCTTGAAATGGCTTGAAATAGTTTGACATATTGACAACCGGTGAACAAACACACGCGAAAGACCTACAAGCACTTGCAGGAAATTCGGAATCACGTGTGCCCAGCTCAGCGAGAGAAGGTGTCGACACCCGAAAGACTTCTGATTCCAAGCGCAAGAACCACACGGCCAGCTTTATTGTTATTGAAATGACGTGATTGAGCTGATTGAACAATTTTTCGAAACCAGGCTTCATGATCAGTATGCCCGCAAGAGGCCTGCACAGGTTGGCTGATTTCTCTTTCCAGTCAGTCCGGCTCAACAGGTGATTGACCAAATCGCCATCCAAACTACTTCTGAAACATATATAACATTGCGGTAAAGAGGGAACTTCGTTCACCACAAACCATGACACCTATATAACTTCGTTACTTGCATTGTATACTACTAAGACTGCACTGCATTGTAGGCTACTCTCCAGCTAATGACTGGCCCATGTGTGCTCTGAGATCTGCCTCCACTATCCTCCACTCAGAAGAGTCTCAATTAATCTTTAAATTATCACAATCTATGCATATCTGTGCCATGACGCCACACTCAAGACCCCCGCCCCACACCAAACGCTATTTTCAGTATGTACTTGTCATTAACCTTGCCCGCGTGGATTCTTCGGATGATCCAGCACACACTTGAACAATCAATGCACATGTGCATTCCAAACACGACAGATGCGCACAAGCATTGAGTCCACCACTAAGTCACCACTTTCCGCTTTGACACTTCGGCCTTGCGAAGCCGATCGCGGCATATTGCCGCGACCCCCACGCGGAAGCTGTGAGTTGCTTCAGCCATGGGAGAGCCACTTGACGGACGCTGTTGCAAACTTTGGGCATGGGCATCCTTTGTAATTACATGCAACTGAATCCTTGTTCTAATCGACAACGTCGGCACGGGATTGTTTGACCCTGGAGACTGCCTGGAGGAGTGGCTTTATTTGCTCCATAGGAGGCCTGCTCAAGATCATATGTTCAGCTGTGTTGAGGGGTCCCATCATTTGGAGAAAAACTCAGAAGCTATAACTACTGCATCCTTTTGGGTTGGTTGGATTATTTTCTGTATTGCGGGAGAGATGATTCAAGTGTGCCGGACGTATGTACACCATGCCAACTAGTGTCCCAAGTGCGGCACTTTGTTCTGTAAAGCTGCAGTGAGGAGGCGTCAGCACTTGTCTCGTTACTAGTAGCACATGTGCTACTAATAGCAATACACTTGTTACCAGTAGCGATGCACTTTGCTACTAGGAGCTTTTTGTTACTACTAGTAGTGCCCTCGTATCCTTTCTGACTTTGATACTGTGACTTTTGGAATGTTGGGATCAGCTGGCGGTTGAGGATCTTGGTGACGTTGGTGGTTGCGACAGCGAGCTGCGGATATTCAGTACAGTATTCGGTTTTAACATTCAAACACATGCTGGCTAGTGGTAGACAATTTACAATCATTCCCTTCTCATGCACCGTCCTTTCACCCAGAAGATTTAAACCAAAGATCCCACCAGAGTAGAATTATTTTTAGTCAAAGCCAAAGCCCACTGTTTCATAGTCCCATGTAATGTCCATCATGATCAAGGTCGCCAAAAGGCTATGCAGAGCAGCTCGGCCAGGATTTTGAGGATTCTAGGTTGGCTAGCACTCATGCGGAGTTTCCACCCTGCTTCTTTATGCTGTTTCCACAGAATGTTTTGGTCAAGCTGCAGGCGGGCTCCTTTGATTGGACCTGGTGAGAGGCCTGTTTCGCTACCAGAGCGCCCCTTGGCTTTCCACTTTTTGCGTCCCTCAGCCACTGGGACGTTTCCGCATGTGAAATCTATGTTTAAAAAGTAAATGCAGTGAGGCCAAGAAGAAGAGGGTCAGGAAAGTATGCCTCTAGCGGACTCTAGCGGTGGTCAATCTTGATAGCATGCTCCTTCGCACCGACTGAAGCAGGATAGGGCATATCGGATTGGGACAATTTGACAGTCCACTCCTTGCGCCCAAATGGCCATCTGGATCAATCCTGCATCCAACGCCTTCGAACCATGCAGGAACATAATTCGATGCTACAATTCACTTCCATGCCATTCTCAGACATGCTAAGGACAAGTTTCAACTGCCATGTATAGTTTACTGCGTGCAGAGATGGTGGCATCTTTGCGAGAATCTTTGCTGCGACCATCAAGCTACTAACTACTCGCGGTTCCAAGCTCACCCTTTTTGAGCAAATTTTATTGTGGCATGTTTCATGTTAGAATGCTTGCGATCATGAACGTGCAGTTGTACAATGATGTACAAAAAACGCTTGCAACACGCTCCTGAGTTGCATGCAATTCCAAATGGAGGCAGTCGCATTTGTTGCGCCAGTTTTTGCTGTGAATCAGATCGAATCGTTGCTCCACTTGGGCAAGTGGGTTGGGAACATAGGAACCTCACGGAACCTCACCATTTGTCGAATCCAACCCATTCCAACCTCCAAGTGGCACGCAGAAAAGGAAGAATTGGGCCCTGCTGGAGCAGATGCAAAGCTGCGAAAGATCGGATTCACCACCGGCGTCCGGCGGCTTGGACAGCAATATCGCACACCGGTTGAGGGTGCATTGATCGACGAAAGGATAGGACAGGAGTTTGAGTTTATGCACAACTCCCATCTACCTGGAGTAGCTTGCTTGCTTCAAGCGGTCTTTGGGAGAGCTCGAGCTAAGGAAGCGGTTTGACTGTATAATGTAGTAGATGCATCTGCAACAGCTAATTAGCTTGCAGCTTTACATATCCAATGCTCCACCATCATGTTGTAGAGCAGGCATTTGATCTGGAAGACACTGGGTTGTTTTGTCAGATGCAGTCAGTGGCCCAGTGGCCACAAAATTGAGGCTCATAACACGTTACACAGCACAGCGGTCCCCCATCACCAATGCTCCTTGGCTGCAACTTTGATGGGGACGGGGGGTTGCAATTCTGTTGAACAAGCAGAAACAAACAGTGAAGAAGCCTGTTCAGGACGCAGTCTACTTCACAAAGGTTTCAACTGTTCTATTGATGGTTCCCCTTGAATGCTGGAAGCCCTTTTCTTGATATTTCATGATGGAGTCCTTCGCCAAGGAGCGGGCCATCATGAAGTTTATTTGCAAGGATGTCTGGACCTACCTGTTCCAACAGCCAGCCACCAGGCTTCAAGCTGACAAGCACGGCGGCTTCTCAGATGGCATTATGACATTGTGTATGATTGCATGGGCCTGTGGCAATCATTGTGTGCGTGGAATCTCGAACTGATTCTTTTTGTGTATATAATGGTGATGTTTTCGTTGTGGCTCATGCCGACCTACTGCCTGGCAAAATGTAACACAGCCATTTTGTAGATCTTAATAGTGACATACAGTCACTAATGCCCATATAGTTGGAACATGTACCATACTATTCTGTGTAAAGCAGCTTTATTGTGCAAGAACCTGAAAGTGAGGCTACATCATCCAGGATCAGGCTTTTCGTTGGCTGGAGAGCTTCCCAGCGGCGGATGCCAGTGGTGAGGCCCAGAGTCGTGACGCCTCTCCGTTGTCGGTCGGGTTTTGTGAACTTGATCGAACAGGATGGCCATGGATGGTTCCCATTCTGTTTGGGTTTGCTGATGCATGTTTTCCCGTTCTGCATGAAATGAGTGAGCATGGCTTGCTACCGCCAGCAGCTGGCCATCCTTCACCTTGCGCTCCCATGTGGTTTGCTTCAAGGACTCGATATGTTTGCTTTGTCGATTGCGGATTCGACTTTTGGTCGAACTTAGAGCCAACTGGCTCCTAACAGTCTAAAGAGGCAAAGAGC